TTTTTTTTTGCCCTTCTTTTTCTCTCCTCTATCTCTCTCTCGCTCTCTCTTGTCGCCTCCTGGACGCCGCGGCCTCTATCGCCGTAACCCGGACCTCTAGTGTATTGACAGTGGCTGTGCGTCTGTCTCCTCTCGGCTCATGTTCGCTGCGCTTGTGCCTGCAATTTAACGGCGCGAGCTTGGGTACTTCCGCTGTAGGCTAACGCTTGGCGCCGCTCCCCCCTCCGACACCTCAAGTGCTTTTTCCTCAGTCATCGCCCGCTGTGCCCTCCCAGCCAGCAGACCTCACCCACCTCCTGTCGCCATGTATCAAGGCTACGACCAGTCGACGTCGCGGTCGCCCGGCTCCCACCGCAATCCTCAGCAGCAACAACAGCAACAGCAACAGCAACAGCAACAGCAGCAACAGCAACAGCAGCAACAACAACCGCAGCAACAGCAGACGGGGGGTTCGCTGCACCGTATGCCCTCGCGCCAGTTCGATACGGCCTATGGTCAGCCGGCCAACATGTACATCCGTCCCTACGACGACCAGCAGGAGCCGCGCACCTTTGAGCGCCTCAACCAGACCATGCATGCCGGTGCTGGTGCGGGCTATGGCTACGACATGAGCGGTCAGCCTGTCTGGAACACCAGTGCCTTTTCGCAAAACGGCCTGGGCTCGCTCGGAGGTGCCGCCGCTGCCCGCATCAAGTCGCAACAGCAGCGCGGAGGAGGACGCAGCGCACTCCCGTCGGTAAGAAACACTGGCCCACATTGATACACATTACACACACAAACACACAAACACGCACATGCCAACACGCACATGCCTCCCCCCCCCCCTCCTGTCCAAATCACACATCAGACGGCTGACAGAGATGATGTCGTATAGGCATGGATGGACCAGCCGCAGCAAGGCCTGCCCAGTTTTGCTCTCCCCGGTTTGAGCAACAATAATAACAACGGTCACAACAACCTTGGTGCCATGCAGAACCCCAGCTACGGCCACGAGGTCGACGAGGAGCTCATCCCTACCGCCATCGTCATCAAAAACATCCCCTTTGCCGTCAAGAAGGAGCAGCTGGTGCAGCTCATGACAGACCTCCGCCTGCCGCTACCCTACGCCTTCAACTACCACTTTGACAACGGCGTCTTCAGGGGCCTTGCGTTTGCCAACTTCACTACGGCTGACGAGACGGCTGCTGTCATCGAGTCGATGAACCACTTCGAGCTGAATGGGAGGAAACTGCGCGTCGAATACAAGAAGATGCTGCCACTGGCTGAACGCGAGCGCATCGAGCGAGAAAAGCGTGAGCGCAGAGGCCAGCTCGAGGAGCAACATCGACCCCTAGGCGGAGGACTCCAGTCCCAGCCCTCGTTTGGTTCTCTCGCCTCGCACATCCCTGCCACATCGCCGTCTCCAGTCTCGGCTATGCGAGGCGGCAGTAAAGCTGTCGGTACGTTGGAGCGGTATACCATTACAGGCTGCCTACTAACAGTGTACCAGACGTTGACCTTAATGATCCTCAGGTCCTTCAGTTTTACTCGCAATTGCTGCTCTTCAAGGAAACCCCTGAGCGCGACAATATGACTTTTCCTTCTACACTAGCGCCGCTTCAGCGCCGCATGATACACACTCTGGCTCATCAACTGGGCCTAGCCCACGTTTCCAAAGGCACTGGCGAATCGCGTCAAGTGCACATCTTCAAGGTCAATGACAATCAGGGACTCAGTCCACCAATGCCCCAAATGCCCTCGAACCACATGGAGCAGCCTCGCCGCAATCTGAACCGCGCTGCGACAACAGACTTTAGCGATGTGCGTGCAGAGGGCGGCTTCTATGGCGGATTCAACAGACAACCGTCCGGCCTGCTTGGGTTCCCCGACTCTCCTGGCGGTCTCAATGCGGTACCCAACCTTCGTGGTGCCAAGTCTTATGCGGACCTCCGCTCCTACACCCCATCGCCAGCCCCTTCGACTGCAAGTCACCCCGTTGGCCGACCGGGTGGATTGCAGCAGACGCTGGACGGACTGGGCTACAGCGGACCGTCCACCAACCCAACCAGCACACCAACGGCTGGTTCCATGTCGCAACGCGACGAAAGTCTCCTTGAGCGAGAAATGAGCCGCATGCAGCTCAGCAATAGCTTTGGCCAGAGCCAGAACCACAGCCCACGATCGCTTCGCCAGATGACATCCTGGGATGCACCCGGCCCCATTGGTGGTCATCGCGCGTTTGGTAACAACTACGACGATCGCCCATCGAGACAGCCTCGTGGACCCCTTCCAGAAAGAGGGCAAGGCTTCGGCCGCCAACGACAGAACGGACACCAGAACCGCGGCAGTGACGAACTATCGTCCCAATCCAACGTCGAGATCCTCGTAGGCCAATAGATTGCACCCCAAACGAAAACGAATCCGTTGTCACGCATCCAATGCTCTCCGCCCTCACGACAACGTGCAATGTGCCCAGCCCCCCTGAACGCAAGATGAACGACGATTACGGCCTTGAACTCTTAGTTTGGCCCCCATACCGAATATTCTCTGGATTGAAGTTTACGATGCATACGAAGAATGATGCTACGAACGGTAGAGAAGCCACAGAATTACATCCAGAAAGGGGGCCCACGCTCCCGCTTACTTTTAACTCTCCTCGCATAAAGTCTTGAAATTTGTTTGGTTTCGTTGCTGTTGTTGGGGTTGGTGTTGGTCGTTACCTGCGCGCATGCTCTGAAGCAAGAAGAAAAAGCATTTCATGGACATATTTACAGACCGACATGTTGTTTCAACTCGTCCCACGTTGGCATGCTTGGCCAGAATGATGCTGTTTGACAGGCGGGTGAATGTTTTGTTTCTGCCTCGAAGATGGAGCGAAGTCGAGTTGGATTGCCGTTTTTCTTTCTCTTTCTTTTCTCCTGGGGACGTTGTATTTTGCATCCTGTTTTAGTCTACTTTTACTTCCACTTGCTCCTTCTGTTTGGTGTTGTGTACGTACGCCAGGGGCCTGGTGCTTTCGGTACGGGGATGGGGAGGGTGTGTGAGAATAATCAAGTGCGTGGTGGTGTGGGAGGAGGAGAGAAGGCCGGCCAAGGGAGTCGGCCCTAATACTATGGATAGTGTTGCAGCTATAGTCGAAGTCGAAGTCTTGCCAAGCGTCTTCACACTTCGACTTGGCCACGTCCTGTGTACCGTGTGCTGCTCGTGGTGTATTCATGTACCGGTAGCCAGCCAGTCGTCGACGTTTGTTGGCATCCAATCTTCACATGTGTTTACCATTTGCCGGAGTAGACTGGGATGGATGGGTTCGGAGTCTGGCATCATGGCACCACCCTGTCCACTTTGCTTTGCCGTGTACTGTGTATACTTTGCTTATCGTCATAGCCTCGAATCTAGTACACAGCATGTGGTACCATCGTCCATGAGCCATTTTATGCATGAGGAGGCCATCGGACAGGAGGCATTGAGTGATGTGGAAGCTTCTAGAGGGAGAGCGCTCTGAATGGATAAGAAGGGCGAGGGGATCACGATGCAAACCGCATGTTGTCGATGATGGTCTTTTTTCCGATCTTGAGATCGGGTTTTGGAGCAAATTGCATGTCCAGTCTGCGATTTACGTAGCAGAAGGTGATGTGGATCCGCAGTGTGAGCGGACAAGTCTGGCCGGGAGCGAGTCAGACGCGACGTCGTTGACATGTCAGCGTGTAACCTCTTACGCGAACCTCGGGGAAACAGTGGAGGGACAAGGTGAAGATGGGAAGATGATAGATTCTCACGGGCGCAGGAGGAGGAGGAGGAGGAGGATGATGATGCATTTCGATCGCCATGGACCGTGAAATTTGAAATCCGCATGTCCCCCCAGCACGCCTTTTGCCTTTTTTTGCGAGACCACCACCATCACAATCCCATGTCCC